GTCTGGACGAGACTTTAGGACTCCCTCATCTTCTCTGTGATCAGCCATTATGTCCATGAGAGGATCACTGTCTTTGTGAGAGTTTTGTTAGAGACACCCTAACTTCTCACCACTCCTGACTTCTCTAAATTCAGTTCCAGGGACTTAACTCAGGACTTGGGGCTTGGCTGCAGCTGCCTTAATCACTAAATACATTTTATATCAGCGTGTGTGTCCTCAAGAGAAATTAGGTGACGCCCACAGAAGGAGCAGCTTCTCAGCACTGTGCTTCATGGAAGAAGAGGCTGTGTGGAAGGAAGACAGGACCTATCTTGTGTTGGAACCAGGGAGGGAGGACTTGATTTCTATTCAGGGCTAGTCATGGCAGGGTGGTGCTTGTTCTGGATCCTGAAGGAAAGATGAAGTTACAAAGAGGAGACTTTAACGAATGAGAGCAGGAGAAAGGAGTCTTATCAGAGGTCCAGTCAGGGTCCAGAGCATCTTGGTGTCTTGAGTGGAGTGCAGAGATGTGGGGAGATGCTTCTGACCCAAGCTGCAGTCTGGGTTTCAGCCAGAGAGTCTTGCCACTCGAGTCTTTAATACATATGTGTTCTGTGGACAGATTCTTTCACAGTCTGGAAAAGGTCCTGCTTGCCACTTCTGCCCCCTTTGTCCCTGTGGCCCGGTGGCCAATGGACCATGGGGGAAGAGGAGATTCCCAAGCCAGGATTATGCAGAGAGACCCTTTTATCAGCGAGGCATTCTCATCTTGCTTCCTCTGTGTCTGGGTGACAACTGCAGACTCCTCTATTCTTCTTTTTCCAGTGCCCAGCTCTTTGTCACAGTTTTCTTCGTCATACCTCAGAGACCTCTCCAGTCCACACAGGACAGCCCTGCTTGGGTGACATCTGCAAGGAGGCCCACTGCCAGTTACTCACTCTTTCTCTCAGCCTTCCTTCTGCTGTGGACCAACCTCAGAATACCTAGATCCCTTGGCTGCCAGCCCATCTGGCTACAGACCTCTCTGACATCACTCTTGTTTTCCATCACACTCACACACTCACACACACACACACACACACACTTTTGGCTCTGGCCAAGAGCTATAGCCGCCCAGGCCACACACTGGCCGCTCTAGCAGCCAAGCTGCTGGACCTGACAGATGTCACGCTGCTGCCCCGGGGCCTCTCCCGGATCTGTTCTCTAGAAGAGAGATTTATTTCCTTGACGTTTTAGGACAGGAAGACTCATTTCTTGGAGGCCTGCCAAGAAGGGGGTGATCCACCCAGGAAATAAACAAGACCCCTTCCTCTCTCTCTGCCTTTCGTCTTTACTGCTTCCCCATGTCAAGTCCTCCCAGGGCAGCTCCCCCTGAGTGGAAGGAAAGCTGTCAGGATGAAAGGGCCTTGCTCGTGATGAACAGCTGCTGGCAGGACCCATGCAGGCAGAGGCAGCATCAACTTAACTCCTTGTTCCCAGTCGCCCAGGGGCAGACTGCATCCAGACTTCCCAAGTCACAGCTTTGGATGAAGCAGCTTCTTATGAACAGAGAGCCATGCTGACAGACTCAAAAGGCCACAGAATTTGCCTGCACATCTCCTCATCTCTTTCTTCCCTGCTGTACAATAGATGACCTAATAGGTCCACCCCAGGCAGTGAAAGGCTCAGACCTCTCTCCGTGTGCACCACTCCCTAACTGGGAGATCCCGAACAGCCTGAGTGCAGCCCTATTTCCTCATCTGTAAAGAGAGATAAGGATGACAGGCATCTGGTGGTGGTGTGCTGAGACACACATGGCACCTCGCCAGTGTCTGGAACAGCATTCCGAAGCTGTCTTGGCTTGCATGGCCATTCTCATCATTATCAGGAGGAAAAGGGCCATTGCTCCTGTAAAGGCATATGTTACAGATATGTTCTATAAAGCTAGAAATTTCACAGGCTGGGTATCTCTAAGGCTTCAGGTTCTGTTAAATTAACGCATGAATGAATCTCTGCCATGTTTTTCCAATTCAACAAGAGTGTGGTCATTTATTAAAGGGAAAAACAAGACACAGCTCAAGATAACAGAACAGTCAGATGGACAGAATGGGGCACAAGTCTGCACCCTGGTCAGCCTCAGACTCTCCTTCCCCAGTATCTCATGAAGTCTCCGGCTCCATCCTATAATCATGAACAGGATGAAGGTATTAGCTCATAGGAGAAGCAAATCTATACATGGGCAACTGTTCATTAGCTGTAGGTGCTACAAAAATACAAAGAGTATCCAAGAAAATCAACTTCAAAGGAGAACATTTTCCTCTGGGCTGAATTCGAGGCCTCGGTCCTGTGGTCATCTGATCCCATTGTCTACGGGCTGCAGTGAGGCAGAACATGGAGGGCTGACTTTGCTCCTTGACTTGGCTGGATTCAGGAACTCCAAGGACACTAGTGAATCATATCTTTGATCTTTTCCTAGAGAAGACTGACTAAGAGGGCAAGACCTTCCTGAATGTAGGGCAGACCTACAGTCCCATGATCCAGGGACCTAAACTGAATAAAAATGGGAAAAAAGAAAACCTTCTGGGCTCCATCATCCTCTCCTTTCAGTTTCCTGGTCCAGTGAGATGTGAGCCAGCAGCCTCATGTGCCTGCTGCCACACCTGCAAGCCACTCCCACTGCCATGCCTTTCTGATGGTGACAGACTATACCCTCAAATCAAAACAACACCTTCCTCTCTCAAACTGGTCCTCCTCTGTTATTGGGTCACAGTAACAGGAAATGTAATTAATATAGAGCATCATGGAGGGAAGACGTGGACGAGGCAGAGCTCCTAACCTCAGCTGGGTAACAGCAGGTGGATGGGGCGAGGTAAATTCTTCAAGTGCATCATCCCAGCCCACCTGGTCTAGCTGGCACATTCAGCTACAGAACATCAATAGAATGGTCCTTGCTGTGGTTGGTTCAGCAAGGACCATTATTATTCAGCCACTCCTCAACAATACCACCAGCCTCAAGACCTCAGGCTTTGGGGGACATCTGTATTACTTGGAGTTCTCCATAGGAACAGAGCCAACAGAATGGGTAGATTATTACAAACAGAATCCACTATTATTATCCATTATACATAACAGGAACTGAGTAGTCAGTGGTAAGGCTGTGAACCAGTGAGCTGCTTGGTCCATGAGGCCAGATGCCTCAGTAGTTCCAGTCTGACGCTGAAGGCCTAAGAAATCTGGGAGAGCCGCTTGCCTTCAGTGGATACTGGAGGACAAAAGAAGTGGGACTCAAATATCAGCATAAAAAAGATAGCAGCAACAACAGAACAGCCAGCAGGGATGCAGTCACCAGCAAGAGGCAAAGGCAGGCAGGAAAAGCAGCCTGCTTTTCTTTGGAATCTCTTTACAGCAGGGCCTCCTGCGGTGCCACCCACTCCAGGGGAGTGTCTTCTCATTCAGTCAATCTTTTCTGGAAACACCCCCACAGACTTCTAAGAGACCTGCTTCTGAGTTCTTCCTTGATCCAATCGAGTTGACAACTGAGTTAATCATCGCAGCATTCCAGATCCAAGTCATCATATGCTCAAATAATTTTGCCTGCAGCACTTGCTTTCAGTCAATTTCAGATTGCTTGTGATTGATGAAAGGGTTTGGTCTCCCAGGAAACTGGGAGCCTCGAGAGTCTAGAGCAGTGGCTCTCAGCCTTCTTAATTCGACCTTTGAATACAGTTTCTTATGTTGTGGTTACCTTCCCTCCACACCATAAAATTATTTTCATTGTTAATTCATGACTGCGATTTTGTTACTATTATGAAATGCAATGTAAATATCTGATATATGGGATGTCTGATATGCGACTCCTGTGGGGTGGTGCTACCCACAGGTTGAGAACCACTGGTCTAGAGAGTTTTGTAGGAGGAAGTCAAATTCAATAGCACCGGCCCCAGTACTTAGATAAACATCTCTCCATCATACAGTGTGGTCCTGTGGCCACTGTGAACCAGAACACCCCAATAAGGATGCTCATGCTGACTGAGGAAGCTACCGTGAAAGTCTTATCCATCAGTGGTTTTCCAAAAGAGCCAAATTAAGGAGAAACAAAATGGTTTCAAGAAAAAAGCTTCAGTTAGAGGGAAAATAGAATCCTAGTATTGACTATCATCTAGATTGCCTAACTTTTGACTATCATCTCCATCTCAGCCAACAGAGAGTACTGGGGAATGCAGGGCCAGCTTGACAGCTGCCAGTAACAGCGCCCATCTCAGCGCCACGCAGGGAACACGCGTCCACTCTGTGAAGGGCAAAATACAGAGATACAGCTCTTTTAGCTTTCGTTTTCTATTCTTTTTTCCTTTTTTAAAGTTTTCTGTCTGTTTGTTTTGAGACAGGGTTTCTCTGTGTAACAGTCCTGGCTGTCCTGGAACTCACTTTGTAGATCAGGTTGGCCTCAAACTCACTGAGATCCTCCTGCCTCTGCCTTTGCTTCCCAAGTGCTGGGATTAAAGGCGTGCGCCACCATGAGCCAGCAAGATATGGTTGTTATCTGGAAAACCAGCAGAAATAGCAAAAGCAAGGCTTCCAGATTCTATATTTATTCTGTGATGTTTAGATGATCAAGTGGCGACTTCCATCCTGTTGAACCTGTAGCATTATACTGAAAATAACATTCCCTACTTGTAACAAGATGGTTGTACCTAAGATTGCCCAATTATGTTTTTCATGAAGAGGTTTTAAAATTCTAGAGAACTAATGGTGCTGAAACTGGCAGAGGGGCTGGAAAGACGCCTCAGGAGTTAGGAGAACATGTCGCTCTTCCAGATGTCCCAGCTCTGGGCAGCTGTGCCAAGCAGCTCACTTCTAACTCCAGCTCCCAGAGATCCATGCCTTCTTCTGACTTCTGCAGGTAACAGCAGACACATGGTGCACATACACACACACACACACACACACACACACACACACACACGCACATGCATACGCGCGTGTGCACACACACACAGTTGGGGACAGATACAAACAGAAATATACAGGTAAATAAAAAGAAATACGTCTTGAAAAAAGTCAGATTAATTTGTTTTTGATTCTTCAGCATTCATAATGAGTTGAGGGAGAAAGAGAAAACAAGAATCTTAGGGCAGGGGCAGCAGAGGAGTGTAAACACGAAAAAGAAAATATAAAGGTTTCAAATGGCCCGAAAGGCACTGAGCAGCTTGTTTTTAATTAATTGATGGTTTTATTTGGCTGAGTATAATGTTTATATAATGTGTTATACTTTTCTGTACCTTTTTAAAATATTAAAACAAGATTATAACATTTTAATTATATTCATCTATAATAAGTTATCACCACACATTCTTATAATTTTTGTGGTGATACCTTAAAAAATAGAAATTCTTTGAGATTTTCATATTTTGGTTCTATTTGCCCTCTCCCTTAACTCTTCCCACACCTCCCTCGTCACTCTCACCTTCTTACCCTCCAAACTTCAAGGCATTGCCTCCTCCCACTCTGCTTCCTCCCCCCTCCTTTCCCTATCCCCCCACTTCCTCCTCCTCCTCCTCTTTTTTTGTTTTTTTTCACATCAAGTCTAGTTTATGTTTCCAACTGCTCTTGAGAGTGGGACCTGCCCTACAGTATGGCCAACTTTCTTTTGTGATGCTGTCTTATATTCCACTGTGTGCATAAACCACCATCTCTGTGTTCCGTGTGTTCAGTTAGTTTGCTTCCCCGTCTTGGCTGTGGCATGGAGTACTGCAGTGAGCACAGTAGTTCGGATTTCCCCTCGAGAGCCCAATTTCACTCTTTGCAGCCATGTCTAAAGTACACATTAGCATTTTCCCAGGTGGGAAAATGACTTTACACAAAAGATTAAAGACATTGTTATAGTTGGACAGAAAATACCCCCAAAAGACCAATATGTTGAGGACTTGGTCCCCACTTGGCAATGCGGTTGAGGTGGCTGCTTCATGCGGGTGCTGACGTTGATTAACTATTACCAAAGGACATTAGTAGGTGTGGCGTAGTTGGAAGACATGTTTATGAATGGTGACTCTTGTTCCTAGACACTTTCTCTTTGGTTCTCTGAGTGCCATGAAGTCAAACAGCTTTTCTATATCATACACTTCTTCCAGGACAACCTAAAAACAATGGAGTCATGAACCGAGACTTAGAAAACTATGAATCAAAATAAATAAATATTTCATCAAAGGACAAAAAGCTAACTGACATAGAAACATTTGTTAATAAATAAAAATATTTACATGACAAGTTACACCAACTACCACTTACCTTCCTAACAATGGAGAGTGCATCAAGGGCGCCAAGTCTCTCTGGCTCCCGCTTTCTCAGGCACCGTCGCTCTATGATGTGTGCTCCATTGCTGGAGCCTCCAAACAGCTTCCAAACAGCCTCGAAACATTTGAAACTTGTTGCCCTGTGTGAATGCAGAGAGAAGCCTGCAGCCTGACCCCATCCTGGCTCTTGGGGAATGGAGGATGCTGAAGAGTAAAGCTAATACTGCTTAACCACACCCTAGCAGGGAACTTTGAAAGGATCTCTCCTCTCAATCTCTCCTCTCCCTGTGGCAAGAGGAAAAGCAGGCCATTTGCACGTGACTAATGGAGGGCAAGCCTTGCTGGAAATGTTTAATTGTCTGAGGCAAAACAGACACTGAGAACAATCAGCGGATTAGCACAGGAGACTTGCATAGGCCATGCAAATCAATGGGTTCAACCCGGAGAAAATAGTGAGTAAACAAATGGGTAAATCAATAGATAAAGAAATAACGAATGCTGATGTTGGGATAGGATCCCATTCAGAAGTAAGAGATTCTGAGAGCGAAACGCAAGGCAACAACCCCGCTGAGGCCATCCCACCCCATCTCCGAGTCTCTTCTTTCCACTCTTCCATCAGCCAATGAAGTTTCACAGAGAATCTGAGCTCAGAGAACGGATTATTTTCTGACTCATTTGTTTTCTTCTTTTGTTCCCCAGAGACAGACACCAAGAATAAATAATCCACAGACCCTGTTCTGATGGACACAGCACTGAGAGGATCCATATTCCTGCGCCAAATGCATCAACAGATAGTTGTGGGAACGTGGGAGGGCCCATGGCTAGATGCATGCCTCTGGAGAGCCATCCTGCCCGTTATAATGTTTGCCTGCAACATCTATTCCAACAGTTACAGGACCAGTATTCATGCTCCCTTTCAATCTGTGTTAAATTCTAAATAGCCCTGAATTCTTATGGCTTTTTTGGGGGGAAAGAAGAGGTATAAACTGACTACATGACTGCTCCATGGTATGGCTAAGGGAAGGTTTTTATTGTAGACACCAGGGAGAAAGCAGTCAGAGGCATCTGGAAAAGCCCAGAGCAGACAGAGGAAGCAGCAGACTGAACCTGAAAGTGGCGAGCAGACTGGACCTGGCCAGGGAAGAAGAGGCAGAAGGGGAGTGGAGAGTGGGGAGAGGAGTGGGTGGAGGGAAGCCCAGAGCTGGAGAAGTTTAGGGAAGGGAAGGAGGTGGGAAGAGCTGGGTACTTGCGACACTCTGGAAGCTTGGAGGTCAGCTCCTTGTGCAAACAGGAACCACACATAGCCATTTGTCTCTTCTGCCAGTGATAAAGAAAATAACTCCCTTGGCAGAGAGAAACCAGCTTCACAGCTGAGGCTTTTGTCTAACTGCCAGAATTTGGGGAAATGGAGTTTCCTTTGGACCTGATTAGGGGCAAGGTACTTTCCCAGTACTGTTTATTTTAAATTTCGAGTCATGATTATTTCTTCTTGCTGGTTAAAAGTCCAATTGGAAGAATTTCCCACCACACTGATAATGCCAGAGAATCCTTGGCAATATTCAGCATTCATAATTATTAAGATGGACATATTTTATGAACATTGTAGGGCCTCTAAATACCTTCCTATTAACGAGATCAAGTGTTGGGATTTTATTAGATTGAGTTTCAGAACATATTCAACATAGTTCCATCCAGCAGCTCAGAGATGTTTCCTCAATACCAGAGACTCTGGATGAATGGTTACTTGGTACAAAACATGTATTCCACATGGGCACGCTTCCTGAAGAATGCTATATTTTTTTCTTGTCTTTCTTTTTTTTCTTTTTTGGTGAATGCATTTTTCTTTATCAGAAATTATACTTAACATAATTTCACTGTAGACAATGAAAATGCTTTCATAGACTCATGATTAGAATTCAACAAACTGCATACAAAATGTCCTTTTCAATTCTGGATGCTACAGGTTTTTTGAGAAGCAATATTTTTACTATCTACTTCTGCAATTGATTGTGCTTAAGACCCTGACTTCACTTTTGTCTTTATTTGACTCTGGATTTTAAACATTAGTTCAAATTATGAAATATTTTATAATATTGAATTCTCTTTCTTTAAGATTTATGCTAATATGCAAATAAAGAATGTTAATATATGCATTATAATGTATATATACATAATGTAATATGTATATTATTTACATATTTTCAAAAGAGTTTCAATACAATAGCCCAGAATAGAGTATAACGAAGGTTTATTTATTTGTAGATAAACTCACAGAAATAGTAGCGATCTGCCACGAACTGGAACCAAATCCAGCAACCAAGAGGCCCACGCATTTATAGTACACGAGACCACGCCCAAAGTGGGCTGACATCTGTAGGGCTATTGGCTGAAGGAGTCCCTACAGCACCTCCCCTTTCTGTCTAAATAAGAGAATTCTAAGCCTAATACAAAATTATATACAATAAGAACAAATATCAAGTATTGACCAGGGAGAAGAAAAGGCAAAAACATGCATAAAAGTTAGAATTATAACCAGCATGAACAACATCAAACAAAAAACATATGTTAAATGTTTCAATAATTATCCTATCCTAAGGAGTCTAAGTCTTATATTAAAAATGGCTTGGCTAAGTCATGAGAGGAAAGTAACTATGACTATCTAGTCTTCAACCCCATCAAAGACCTGAGAAGGGAAATAATATTACTTGAGTAAACAGGAAGTGCAATCAAACAAAAGGTGTAAAAAACGCAGAAACAATCGATTACCTGGGCAATCACCCAAAGTCTCAATAGCAACGTTGGGGCAGCCAACTTTAGCCAAGACCTAAAGTAACTGACAGACCATTTTCAGAGGCAGGAAAATCTGAAAAACCATCTTACCCTGTCTTGACAAGGATTGGCAGTCTTTTTGCTTGTATCTTGCTTGTCCAGTCTGGACACTGTGTATTTTGTTAGTAGTCGATGTGGGGCAGTTCTTTGTCCAAAGGCCAGTTTTGTCAAGAAGAAAACAAGATCCAAGGGGAATGTCTTCGGTGTCCAATATTCTCTCGGGAATAGATCAGTGCTGTCAGGAGCAACGTGTCTCATGTCAAGAGAATCCTAAGTTATTTAAAAGTCATAATTACAGTTCTTTGAAATGTTTGAAGATTAACTCTATATGGAATACAATCTATATGCATCTAAAGAACCTGATTAGTCTGGCTATAAGTATGACAAACAAGGATGACTACTGACCTGTAATTGTTAATATCTATATAGCTTAAAGACTCAGACTTCATATTTAAAAAATTAAACAATCTTTAAACAAATGTACAGCAAATGAGGACAATGACCTCAAAATGTAAACAATATATAAGTATCTTGATCAGAGGTAGAAACGAATAGTGCAATGTGATAAATATATTGTAAATGTGCATCAATATGCAAAATATCTTCAGCAGAGGGAAAACATGCATGCACACAATATGACAAAATAACTTTGCACAGGTGCACAAATATTGTAAACAGAAATAGAGGCATATTCACTATAACAAATACAATTTGAATTTGTATCAATATACAAGAATCTATACCAATGTAAATTGTCTATAAATAATAGCCCATAACTATTCACTCTATTACTCATTATCATTATTATTATTACTAGTAGTAGTATGAGTAAGCTCATACTAATCTACCTATTATCCCACCCCAAGTTGGACACCACATTTAGGTGAAGACTGCTCATATGATCCTGGCTACCCTACCTGAATAATCACACAGAAATTCTATGAATTACAACTGTTTGACCAATAGCTTAGGTGTACTCCAACCTAGCTCTTATATCTTAAATTAACCCATTTCTATTCATCTGTGTATCATCACAAGGCTGTGGCTTATGGGAAAGGTTCCAGCAGTGACATCTTTCTCCTTCAGCAGCTACATAGTGCCTCTCTGACTCTGCTTACTCTCCCTATATATCTCTGTTCAGATTCCCCACCTGTCTTTACCACTAAGCCATTGGCTAAAACAGCTTTGTTCATCAACCAATAAAAGCAACACATACATAGAAGAACAATCCACATCAATAATATATATATATATATAATATATATGTATAATATCACGTATCACAACCTAATGAGAATTAACTCCTCTTACAATTCACAACCTAATTAGAATTAATACTGCAATGACACTATCCTATCCACTCAGAGGTAGATAACACCAATCACTTCTCATGACTGGCATGACAATAGATAATGTGTTATATTGGGACTTCAATCACTTTGATTAGAAAATAAAGTTTTTATAAGCTCCAGAAAATGAAGAAGAATGGGAAACACTGGTACATTTCAGCAATATATATATATTCCTCCAAGCCAGTTGTTAAAAATAAAAGTATAGCTGGGCGGTGGTGGCGCATACTTTTAATACCAGCATTCAGGAGGCAGAGTCAGGTGGATCTCTGTGAGTTCAAGGCCTGCCTGGTCTACAAGAGCTAGTTCCAGGCTAGACTCCAAAGTTAACAGATAAACCTTGTCTTGGAAATAAATAAAAATAAAAATAAAATAAAATTATTTGGGCATGCAGAAAAAGCTCAGTGGTTTAAAGAGTGCATACCACTGGTACGGGAGGTCCTTCTATGTATTGCTTCTATTGGTTAATGAATAAAGAACTGCTTTGAGCCTATGGCAAGGGCAGAATGGAACTAGGTGGGAAAAGTTAGGCTGTATGCTGGGAGAAAGAGGGCGGAGTCAGAGGGACGACATGGAGCTGCTGCCAGAGTCAGACATGCCAGAACTTTAGCCAGTAAGAGACAGCCACGTGACAGCACACAGATTAATAGAAATGGGTTATTTAATATGTAAGAGTTAGCCAATAAGAGGCTAGAGCTAATGGGCCAAGCAGAGATTTAATTAATATAGTTTCTGTGAGATTATTTCGAGTTTAAGCTAGTCAGGCAGCTGGGAGCCAATAAGTGGTGCCCTCCTTCCGACAAACCACTCCTCCCGAGATCAGGTAGGTCACGCTCTCCTGTACCTCCAGCTCTAGAGATCTGACACTCTCTCCTGATCTCCTCAGGCATCACATTCATTTGCACAACTCCCCCCCACATAAGCAAATAATTAAAAAAAATAATAGATGACATTTTTTTGTGGTTTTGAATTAGATGAAGATTTTTTTAAGCACTGTTTTGAAATATTTGACTTATAATACTTTGCATTCTACCTCAAAAAAAAAAACCTGGGAATTACCCTCCAAAATTTAAGAACTTACAGTCACATGCATTAAAATAACTCCGCTGGTGAGAAAGGCTACATTTTCTATACGTAGAGAAATGTCAACTAATGCTTATTTCATTTCTCCTGTTTCTAAGCTGCTGATGCAAGAAGCTAAAAGCAAGCACACTTTCTAAAGTTGAATGTTTAGTAATAGAATTCATATATAAGGGAAAGCAAGAGCATTTCTCTCTTTCAAGTGCCCCAAAGACCATGTATATATCTTCAGAAAGTCAACACTCTTTGTGACATTCAAATAAAAGAAAAGTGAGGAGCCAAGCTTTTTCACTGGTGGGAAGTACTGAGTAACGAAATTCAAGTATGAAAGAAGATTGAAGTGATGTAAAAATTCCGATGAGATTGTGACCCAAAAAATAAGAAAACATTCAGAATGAATGTAAACATGTTCACTCTCATTGTCTCTTTAGGGATAAGAAAGGAAGCAATGACAGAGATTAATAATACAGTAACTTTAGAATAGTTTGCAAGGAGACATTTGTTCTGGTTCCCTTCTGACGGCAGTCTCCAAGGGACGGTTAGAGGTTGTCCTGGATGGTTTTATATTATCTTGCCACAAGCTAAAGTCATCAAAGAAGATGAGAAAATAACTCCATAAAATCCAGCTATAAGGCATTTTCTTAATTAGTGATTGATGGGGGAAAGCCCAGCCCATGGTAGATGGTGCCATCTCAGGGCTGGTGATCCTGGGTTCTGTAAGAAAGCAGGCTAAGCAAGCTATGAGGACCAAGCAAGTAAGTAGCATCCCTCCTTGGTCTCTGCATCAGCTTCTGCCTCCAGGTTCCTGTCCTATTTGAGTTCCAGTCCTGACTGCTTGCCCTGTTCTTCAGTGATGAACAATAATTTAGAAGTGTAAGCCAAGTAAACCCTTTCTTCCCCAAGTTGCTTTGATCCTGGCATTTCATCACAGCAATGAAAACTCTAACAGGACAGAGGTATCTGTGCATAGGGCACAGGTTCAAATGTCTACAAACTCATCTAAAGCAAAGATCCCCTTTTATTTGAACAGCCACTCCTCTCTCAATACACTGGACAGAGCTGCAGAGGCTACTCCTTGAGATGCAAACTACTTAGGGGTTGCAAGGTTTCAGGCTCTATAAGCAATTTTGAGGGTTCTAGACTAAAATATGGGTTTGAAGATAGAAGAATAATCCACTTTTCGCTTCTTTGTCCTTTCTAAACTTCTCTTGAAACACAAAGAACAATTGATAGAAAACCACAGAATCTACGTTGGAAGGCACGTGCAACCTCAACAGACACACAAAGCATGGATGCAGGTGCAAAGAAGCGAAGCAACACAGTAGGGCAGAAACTGAAGGTGCAATCCAAGGGATTTTAGAAGGAACCATGGCCTGAACCACAGCACGGAGACTGGTGTGATGGCAAAGGCCTTTGATGGCCCTAGTCCTCAAAGGACAGAGAAAGGAAGTTGCTGAGGTTAGAAGCCAACCTGGCCTGCACAGCTAATGTCATGTCAGCCAGAACTACATTGCAACACCCATCTCACCGCCATCAACAAGCACAACAACAACAACAATAGTCTGAAAGAAAAACACAAGGATTAGAAGCAGCCACTTTGCCGAGTAGGGTTGCTCTTACTTGTGGTGAGAAGACAGGTGGTGAAAGCCAATGGGAGATTGGTGAAAAGACTCAGTAAAGAGAACATCCATCCAGTAGTATGGCAGGCTTGCGAGACAGCAAGAGTTGTAACAATGACAATTTTAATCTATTTGGGGAGTGGGAAAAAGAAGGTTCCCCCATTGCTCCCCTTGTACTCAGATAAGACCTAGGTGAAGCTCAAGCGTAAAGTCAAACAGCATGCAAGGGTCAACAAAAACTTTCCTACCTTGATTGCTCTGGGACATGCAAGTAAATATGTGACTAGCTGAATTCTGTATTGGGAGACTAATTATATATGACTCCAAGACAGCATGGAGAGATGGGAGGAGGCTCCTGATGAATTCAGGCCTATAAAGACAGACACAAGGTTTCATTTGTGAATGCAAACCTTTTCTAGCAGAATGCATCCTCAAATTCCCAAGGACCAGGGTCTATAATAATGTACACATGAGCCAAAATTTTACAAAAGGAAAATGGCCACTTAAAATAGAGAGCTGAAATGACAAATCAGACTTGGTCTCTGTGATGGTCAGAGTTTATTCTAAACTTGACAGGATCTAGAATCACAAGGGAGATGGGACTCTGGGCATGCCTATGAGGATTGTTTTGATTACATTAATTGATGGAAGACTTATCTTAATTTTGGACTGGACCATTCCCTGGGTAGAGGATCCTTAACTATTTAAAATGGAGAAAGTGAACTGAGTACCTGTCTGTATTCATCGCAATATAGTGTATATTAAACAAGATTTTTTTGAAAATGTAGAACTGAATAATTCTAATGAAAATAGGTGTTATAAGAAGCACTACATACAAAAGAACAGAGTAAACATAACCAGAAAGGAAAGAATGGCCTGAGAAGTACTGAGAAAAAATAACCATCAGATGGGAATTATAGATCAACAATAAAATTGCTTTTAAGAAGGAGAACAAATAAAACTATTTTTCATATAAGCAAGAATAACAAAAAGGAAACAGAGGCTTTATCCATGTGTTAGTTAAGGTTTCTGTTGCTGTGAAAAGACACTATGACCATGGTGACTCTTACAAAGGAACACATTTAAATGGGGCTGGCTTACAGTTCAGAGGTTTAGTCCATTGTCATCATAGGAGGAAGCATGGCGGTGGGCAGGCCAACACAGTGGTGGAGAGGAGCTGAGAGTTCTGTATTCAGATGAGCAGACAGTAGAAAAAGAGAGTCACTGGGTCTGGTTTGAGCATACTTCCTCCAACAAGGGCACAGCTACTCCAACAAAGACCACACCTCCTAATAGTGCCATTCCCTATGGGCCTATGGGGGTCATTTTCTTCCAACTACCACAGTCTTCAAGAAGTCATTGACTAAAGAAACTTCCAAAACAAACAAAGAAACAAATAGATGAATAAATAAATAAATAACCGACCTTCAGGGTTAAGAAGAAAGTCCTATGAAAAAACAGTGTGAGAAACAAAATGAATGAATGAATAATGAAATTAGTGACCATGCAGACATGCCATCACTGTCTCTCTGAGCAATCAGTATAATTAATAATATTCATGCTTTAAGATAAGGAAATCAGAAGAACTCTGTTTCCATAATTAGACTAAGTTGAGAGTGTAGCATGACGGCCGGCTTGTTGGGGTATCTGTCTCACCCGGTACCCCATAGCCGGCAAGTCCCAAAGAAAATCACAGAGTCTACATTAGGTTATAAACTGATTGGCCCATTAGGTCAGGCTTCTTATTAGTCCTTGTAACTTATATTAATCCATTATCATTATCTATGTTAGCCACATGGCTCAGTACCTTTCTCAGCGTAACAGCTTACATGTTGCTTCTTCGGTGATCTGGGCAGGAATGGCGGAGGGAGCTTCCTGCTTCCCAGAATATTCCTGTTCTCTTTGCTCCACCTCTACTTCCTGTCTAGTTTTCCCGCCTATACTTCCTGCCTGGCCAATCAGCGTTTTATTAAAATACATGATTGACAGAATACAGATAATTCTCCTGCACCATAAGAGGAAGATGGTCAATATCAAAGCCCTTAGATTATAAAGTCATCCGAATCTGAAATGTTAGATATTTGTCATTCACTGTAAATTCTAAGGGAGAGGTCCATCACTTCCTGACTAAAGGGAAAAGGAAGTAAAACAAAATAAGATTTAAAAAAGAAAAAAAAGCATCAAACGAGCAAGAAAAATAGAAGGTATAAAATAAAATGGTTAAGGTAATTTACACAAATAATCCATGCATATGTAATTCATACATACACACATATTATGTGCATATGTGTGCACATACATGATAAATTCAATTCAAATTTTAAAATATATATGTATTATCATGGACTAGAAAAATTAATATTGTTTAAGTGTCCAAACTACCCAAAGAAATCCACACCTTCAATGTTACCTCTATCAAAATTACATTAAGATTTTTCAAAGTTCAATCAAAACCACAATGGTATTTTCAAAGAAATAGCAGAAAGTAATCTTAAAATTAATATGTATCTTTAAAATTAGCAAACTGGTTTGAGCAAAGTTGGAAACACTGAACATTAAACATTAATATATTCTACACGGTATTAGAAGTAATTAGATGAAATGCACTGCATACCAAAACAACACTGTACCGGTATTAAAAACAGACATTGGATCCCATGGAATGCCCACATACTTATTTTAGATGATGCTACTGGTAAATCAATGCCTTTCAACAAATGATCAGTGATGAACATCCACATGGAGAAGAATGAAATTGATCTGGTAACGTTCTGACAAGATATAAAAAGCTGAGGCAAGAAAAACAAAAGTAGACAGAGATATTTGCATCAAATTAAATCATTTCTGCACAGTTAAGAAAACACACAAGGTTGGATGCTAGTGGCCCACACCTTTAATCCCAGCACTCAGGAGACAGAGGCTGGCTCTGTGAGTTCAAAGCCAGCCTGGTCTACAGAGTGAATTCCAGATAGTGAGGGAGACAGAGAAGCCCTGTCTCAAAACAACAACAACCAACACTCAAAATAATCAAAAACCAAACTAGAAAATGGTGAAGAACATTTGTAAACTATAATTTCCACAAGGAATTATTACCCAAAATATACAAGGCACTCAACTCAATAAAAAGAAACCAACGGCCGCTCTAGTTTTCATAGGGAAACTTTCTCAAAACAAACCACCAAGAAAGAAGACATATAACGAGGGGATGGATGAATGAATTAATCCATTTCCAGACCGGAAATATGACTTTGCAGTTGAAAAACAAACGAGCTACTGTTGCAGAGAACCTGTGTTTTGCTCTCAGCACTCACAGGATGGCTCAGTCCCAGGGGACATGACACCCTATTCTGGCCTCTGAGGGAGCTACATACATACATACATCTACATATATGCAGGCACATAAAAAATAAATCATTAAAATAAATACATTGTGCATCACTGATGTTTAGGGAAATAAACATGAGGAGCACAGGGCAGCAAGAGCTCACGTCTGCTTCAGTGCTTAATACCCAGAAAGGTAAAAGACAGGAAGCATCAGTGAGGATGAAGAAAAAGAAAACAATTCGCGTTCCTAAGCAGAGTATAATAATACGATTGTTACAGAAAACCGTAGGTAATTCTCCCGAAAGATTAAAAATAGGCTCGCCACATGGTCCAGCAATTCTGCTTCTGGCTATAAAGACAAAGAAAGTGTAACCAGTTCTTGAGAGATGCTGCAGTCCCTGTCACTATAGTAGTATTCCCAAGAGCCAGGTCGCAGAGACAACTAATGCCACCATCAGGTACACCTACAAGTTAAATGTGTTTTACACACACAAAATAATACTATTTAGACTTTAAAAAAAGATGAACGTTGTCATCTGCAACAACAAATGGACAAATGGACGATGTTATGTGACAGGCACAAAATGGCAAACGCTACATGATCTCACTTAGAAATCTAAAAGCATGGAACTCACAGGACCAGAGAATAGGATGATAGTTGGGGGGCAGCGTGGGGCAGGGGGTGGAAGGATGCGGGTCGAATGGCATGAAGTTCAGCTACATCCGCTATAGAAATCAGCTGAATGACACCGGGATAGTTAAGGTGAAGCATGCATTCTAATTGGTATTAATAATAAAAGCTCAGAGTCAGACATGGAGTTAATGCTGAAGATCAGAGAAGCAGAGCAGCCACTAGAGAGTTCTTACCTCTGTCATTGCTCAGACCAAAAGGAGGATCCTGTCCTCGGACTGACCTCAGACTGCTTCAGACCGCACTGAGTTCCTGTCACCTCCTGCCTTATATTCCCATCTTTGCCCAGCCATATCACTCCTGTCTCCACCAGTCACCTCCCTAGTGCTGGGATTGCCTTAATGTCACCTCTGTTTCTCTTTTAGACAGATAATCTCATGTAGCCCAGGGTAACCTTGAACTAACAGAGATCCCTCTGTGTCTGTCTCCAGAGTCCTGGGATTAAAGGGGTGTGCTACCATTGCTTGGCCTCTAGTGACTTAGCACTGCAGTCTGATCTTCAAGGAAGCTTTGTTTGTTAAAACACAAAGAAAATATCACTACAAAATCTAGTGGCAAGAAAAAGTATACAAGTGTGAATGGGCAGTCCTATGCTCAGTGGTGCCCCTAACCGTTAGGGACATTATTTCTGAGCTCTGACACATTAAGGGTCACAGACATAGGTTTCCCCTTCTCCCTGGGCTACTGTTGTCCTAGAAGACAACAAGGCCATTAAGAGAAGGGTGAAGTCACCATAACTGTAACGGTGTTCATCGTTTTCACCAACCCTGAACCCAGAGCTGTGCATGCACACTCACAGCACCTTGTGATAATGTCGCACCCCACCCAACATGTTTAAACAGATCATTTTTTATAAAGAATTGCAAGGCTTTCCCACAATTCTGGAGGCATCAACAAACGACAAGTTTGAGCTCATGGATATTTTACACATTTGTCTGTGGGCAATGGATTGGATGCAGTCTTACAGTTCACTATGCACAGACAACCCTCCACAGGACCCCACTAGAGAGCAGCATCACAAATGGCTCACTGTGGTCCTCATGCTGGGCATGTGAGAGCCTTCGACCACTTAGAGGGCACTGAGTGGAGGCAGGGCCCTTTCAGGGTGTAGAGCAGCTCATTTGGGTTCTCATCAGGAGACAGACACATATGAACACTTGCGATCGTGCACACACACACACACACACACACACACACACACACACACTCCACATCACTGGCCACCTAGGCATGCGACTTGGTGAAAGGTGATATACATCAAGCTAGTCCAGGTCTCATCAAGAAGAAGTGAGCTGTCCATATCATCTAGTCACAGAGCCGGGGAGGCCAGGGTCTCTCACGACTTAGTTACCCAGGATGCACTAGCCAGGCTGAGGGAACGCCCACTCAGGCTGCAGTAGGAGACAGGCTTCCCTGCAGAACAACGGACGACTGTCCAGCACAGAGGACAGAGAGGCACAGTAGCCAGAAGTGATTGACGGCAGCGGTCTAGCTGTCCTCCCTACACACGGGCAGAGCGAACTAGTGAACGTGTCCTTCACTGTCTTACTCAGGGTTGCTGTTGCTGTGAAGAGACACCATGGCCACAGCAACACTCACAGAAGAAAACATTTATCTGGAGCTGGCTTGCACTTTGGAAGTTTAGTCCCTTATCATCATGGTGGGTGGCAATGGCAGCATGCAGGCAGACATCATGCTGGAGAAGGAGCTGAGAGTTCCACATCTTGATAAGCAGGTGACATAAGCAACGGTGTGTTACACACTTGTGTAGCTTTAGCAACAAAGTCCTCAAAGCCCACCTCCACACTGACACACATCTTTCAACAAGGTCACACCTATTCCAACAAAGCCACACCTCCTGACAGTGCCACACCCTGTGGGTGCCGTTTTCTATCAAACCACCATAATGACCAATCAATATGTGTAGGAAAATTCTGAGGAATTGACAGAACATTTTCAGAGCTAGTAAACAATTCAGCAAAGTCACACACACACACACACACACACACACACACACACAAGCCAACACAGGTCACATGGAAGGACCTTGCCACACAGCTGCACACCAGCAAATGCACAGGGAGGAATCCAGATGAGAGCTTCAACTTCAAAGCACATCAGCAGGAAAATACACAGATACAGCCATTCAAACAGTCATTGTTTCTGTTACATGCCTTGTCCCTGCTCTCCACAGTGTACCTTATCTTCTCTCCAGAAATTCTTAAATAAATGTCTGCAATGGGTAAGACACATAGCAGAAATCAGAACATGGAGCTAAAACGACAGGGAAAGTCAGTTGATGTAGAAATGGAAGGTTCATGGATAAAGGACGATACTTTTAAAATTGTTCACACAGGAATCAATCTGCACATCCATTTGATTACTATGGACAGCAGTGGGAATGCTTACGTCACTGTCCCCATGCAGGTTGATGGACCCTGGAAACAGTACAGATCGAAGACAGGGAGATGGCTCTCAGTGTGCTGCCTGCTGAGAAAGCACAGGGACCTAAAGTGGAAACCCAGCATTCATGTTTTTAAAAAATGGCATTGTTCAGTGCAACTCTTACCTATATGCTGGAAAGGTCTACCTTTTCCTTTCTCTCTCTCTCTCTCTCTCTCTCTCTCTCTCTCTCTCTCTCTCTCTTCCTTTCTTTCTTTCATTGTCTTCAACTTGTTTCAAAGAAAGGTCAGTTGGGAAGAGGGAACCTTAGTGGAGAAAATGCCTCCATCAGAGTGGCCTGAAGGCAAATGGGTGGCCTGTTTTCTTGATCAGTGCTTGATTTGGGAAGGACAGCCCTCTGTGGGAGGTGCCACCAAGCACTGGTCACTTTGGGTGGTATAAAAAAGCAAGCTGGGCAAGTAATGAGGGGCAATCCAGTATGCAGTGTTCCTCCATGACCTCTGCTTCCATTCCTACCTCCAGGTTGCTTCCTGAGTTTCTGCCCTGGCTTCTCTTCGTGGTGGACATTAATCTGCAAGATAAAAGAAATGTCTGCATTTCTGAAAGTGGTTTTGGTCAATATTCTATCACAGCAGGAAGAAAGAAGGCAAAGACACCCGAGGAGACAGCAGGGCAACAGAGTTCACTGGTCAGACAGTTTTTCCAATTGGTGAGCTGTTCAGTGACAGAACGTGGTTCAATGAAAACTAAGAGTAGAGGAACTAGGGAAGCACATAATGCCAAATTCCTCTTTCCACCCACATGCACACCTACCTGAACACAAACCCACATGCACACACACATATCCACATAGGTGTACACATATACACAAGCAGACACACGCACACACACACACACACACAGAGGGAGAGAGAGAGAGAGAGAGAGAGAGAGAATGGGGGGAAGAGAGAGAGAGAGAGACCCTAGATCATTTCTGAAATCAAAACACACTTGAAGCAGTTGCGACCAGGGAAGTGTGTTCAACTGTCAAGCAGACAGACAGCTCAGCTGAAGGAAGAGCATGGAAATCCACACAGAAAATGATTCTGAAGGGCACTGACCACACAGGGTCTCACTATGTAGTGCTGGCTGCCTTGGAGTTCACCTTCCTTGACATCCAGATCCTCCCGTCTCAGTCCCAGTCCCAGTACCCTAAATGGTGGGATTACAGATGTGCACCACCATAGTCAGCAAAAGAACAGTTGATCCTTGGGAGAACAAAAGGTGTGAGTGCAAGAAAGGATTAATGAGGAGAGGGTGCTCCCAAGGGACAGGCTCCACAGAACAGTTAGAAGTGAAAATCAAACTGTCAAGTGGGTTGCTGAGATGTCTATGAGGTTTTTCTCCTCTGTCTCTTGACCTCGTAGGTCAGCTTTACACAGCTCCAGTTAAAGCTGACACAAGGTTCATCCCCCAGCCCACCCAAGGTTACAGACGCTTAGACAGCTGGTGGCAAAGCGACCCTACACTGGCTGGCCGTGTGCAAGTGCACTAAGGTCACCACAGTTGCAGCTTTCGTGAGTCAGCGCCCAGTCGGTGATGGGCTGTGCAGTGACGCAGCTGCCTTCAAGGGGTCCCTGCTCCTGTATCCCTTCGCCAGTGCTCCTGGAACTGATTTTGGTAAAGTCATTGGCTTATCAAGTTGGTCTGTGGTGTGTCTTGGTTTGAATGGGAAACGTTCCCCTCTGGGCTAATGTATTTGAACACCTGCAACCCAATTGGCAAGGTGGATAGCACAGAGGGCCTTCTCAGGATGGTGGGATTATTCTGTATAATACTGCAAAGAATATGTGTCGATAGGCATCTCATCCACAGAAAGGAGACAGGGAGAAAGAGGTTTGGCCCGTCACGGGCTTTTGAAACCTCAGAGCTTACTCCCAGTGGCACACTTACTCCAACAAACCACATGTCTTAATCCTTCCCCAAAGAGTTCCAACAACTAGAGGCTACGAGCATGGAACATCTCTGTGACCCACTGTACACACACCAAGGCAGAAGAAGAGCAGTTGGCAGCCCTGGCCAGTGCTAGAGAAAGCCTATGTGGGGGGAGGCTCAGGCCGGAGGGCCCCAGGAAGTGACCTCACTTTCCTCACAATGGTCCAGATGTTACTTGGCATCCTGGTTGCCAGGTAGCCAGAGGCGGGCAGTAGCCTCACAGTTCAGGCTGACTCACTTTTCCTGAGACACTCAACGAGTGAGGATGTTGTCCTGTTTTAGGAAAACTCGTGGCTCAGGCCACAGAAAAGGCAAGGGTGGTCTCCTTGGCCACCTTTGGGGCCTTCTCACACACGTCTGGTCATCTTGTACCGGGCAAGACCAGGTAAGACAGGCCAGCCTGGAGCAGGAGTCCTTTCTGGTCCCCCTAATCTACTGCAATCCCTGCCTGGGGCTGGGTTCCTCTGAGAACACTGGGGAACATTCTTTATGCCCACTTGTCCCTTCAGTGTGTGGTAATGGGTTGTTGATGTCTCTCAGAGTTTCCACATTTGAGCTCCTTCCTTTCTTGGTCCTTCCTCAGGCTCAAGAGGATTTCGATCGCCTATGTAGACCGCTCAAATTTGACTACAGAAGTCCCTATTTCATAGATAAAGTCGTGTCTTATCTCCCGACTGCTCTCAGAAAGGGGAAATACGACTTTGTGGATGCTTTCCTTGCTGTCTATCCCGCTTTCGCCACCACCCTGAAGGTGCTGGTATTAATAACGGACAAGATTATGTGAGTGGCTACACCTGAGTTTCGAACCCCGTGCCTCCTGGTTTGGTTTTAGGAGGACACTGCTCTTCTCCAGGGCTGTGTGCTCTCCTAGGGAAAGTACAGTTGTGTCCTGGTAGAGTTATTCTCCTGCCTGCCACTTCTGACTGACATGGCATAGATTGAGGGCGAGGAGATGGATCGAGTCTGAGATATTGACCCAAGTAGTGTCAAACACTACCCTTTCTTACGCCTTGAGCAAAGGCTTTTTTCCCATTTGCGAAGAAGGCGCTAAGGGATAAGGTTATAGGGGAAAAATGGAGCCAGAAGGGATCCCTGCAAGGGCCCAAGGAAACCCTGTAAACCCAAGAACCCTG